AAATATCATCACTTAATATCATTGATAAATAATTGTATTCGTTACTGATAGAGTTAATGTTTACATAATAGAATTTATAGATTTTACTATTACCTTTATTTCAATAGAATCAACTTTTATTTTATTTTACACAAATAAAGATCAAGTTGAGAATGAAGGATTTAATTTATGTGATGAAAAAAAAGAAAGATACATCGTTTTCTAATAAACTCAAAATTTCGAATTTTTAAAGTTTAAAGTTAAATTTTATTTTTGTGAAATTTATGTTTCCAATTGCTTACACTTTGAAACTTAGTAATATTTATGAATCCTTGTGATTAGTTCTATTATTATTATTATTGGCCCTCAAATATCCTGGTACGGCTAAGGGTAGGGACAGTCAACTCTCCCTCTCGAAATGCTCTCACATGACTACATGTATGCAGCCACTACCAGAGAAGCCCTACTCACTGTCTTCATGTGGCGAGGACGTTGCTTTCGAAGTCACGAGGACAAAAAGCGAATGTATGGCGCCTTAACCTGATTAGTGAATATGGAGAATTCGCCTAGTGGAGTTGGTGACCCTTGATTTCAAACGAATGGTGCACATGGACTCTAGGATCATAAGCGAACAAATGGCGTATGAACCTATTGTTGGTTACGGGCTACCATGGTACTGCATCTGCTGACGTTTCTCCACTACTTTATGGATTACACCTTTAGGTTGAAGGCTTGGGTTATGGACTCGTAAGGAAATCATCTGCTTCGGTCTGGGAACCCAGGCAGTATCACAGCAATAATTTGTCTGAAAACTCAATCATCTTACTGAAGTTGATCTATTTATAAGGATGCTTAAAAAAATCAACACATAGATTATTAATGATAAATTTATAGTGAAAAATCCTGGTTATAGCAATATTTTGATGTGACTATGAGTTAAAATGTTAGTATTCGTTTCCATGAAATATTTTATACTGCTTAATATTAGATGTAAATACATAAACATCTTTTAGTTGCTTTATTCAATCCTCTCATATCAACATCAAGTGATTTCCAGTGATTTAGTTTACGACCAATATTTTAAATATGTGTTGAGTAGAGTTTGGTCAATGCTAAGGGTTAAACAACAAGAAAATAGCTAACACAATCTAACAACCTAAATTTATAATGTTCATGTCGATCTAGTCATCGTATTAATTCCCATATATTTTTGAAATTGAATTCGGACGCTAATATTCATTGAAGTTTCAATACATTTATGGTTTGTTGATTGATCATATCAACCAAGCAATATATTGACAAGAGAGGGATTTCATACCTAAGTGTATTAGTATCATATTGAAATATCGATCCGGTTATAATAAAACAAAAAAAATAGCACTCTATATTAACTGAGTATAACCTTTGTTTACTGAAAGTAGGACTTTCTAATGACTGGCTTCATATTCTCGCTATTATGTGGTATTTTTCCCTTGTTTTCATTATATTCAGTGATAGATATACGAAAATTGTATGACAAAATTACTTTTGAATTCTATTTCTTTTTTCCTTCACTGTTAGTTTCAACTATGAATGTTTCTTTTTGAAATTTCGTTGATTTAAAAAAGTTCCTCTTATTCAAAAGATGGAATTTTATTTCATATGCGTTTTTTGTTGCTATTGTTTGATGTAGCTGTGTGTTGTTATCTGATCATTAGTACCTATTGTTCATTTGTTTCGAACTACTCATTTGCAAGATACATCATCTCATTAACTATTCATTTAACAAGTGTGATTAAATTCCAGACACATTAAAATTTCAGAAGGGGTTTTGTGCATATTATAGTAATTTTCGTCATTGAGATTATGAGGTTCTGGGTTCGAATCTTGCGAGGCGAGATCGTTGATAGGCACTGCTAAGCAGTCTCATAATAGAACAAAACAGATATTTAGTGATTCCAGGTTTTCCATGGTGGCCTAGCTCTAATTGACTAATGATCTCAACTACTAAAATAACATTAAAATTTGATGTTTATAAACTTATATTTGTTACTTTCTTTATACTAGTACAGTATTCAATATAAAACTGATCTTTTTAAGTGCTATATTTTATATATAATTCGATCATCTTGTTAAAGTTGTCAAATACGCTCTTTATCCATTTAACGTTTAATCAATGGAAGTAAACAACATATCCGTGATAGACCTATACAAATTTGAACATCTGGACATTCAGGGAACGCCAGAGACTTAACTTCATAATAAATACTGAAAACGTTGATGTTTTAATAAATTCTATAAATTTTGAACAACCAAATAACAACTTTTCCGAATACATCCATAAATGTCACCTACTTTTTCTTTGAATCACATGAATAGTTCGTTTCATACATCATTAAATAAACGTAAAAAAATATGGTTTTATACAAGTGAATAGAACTTAGTTGTTTATTTGAATATCAAAGTGTATCTGAGATGATAAATATATCACTTAGTTACAAATAGATGGCAATATATCTCAAATTTCAAGCTTATAGCACTAAGGTGGTATATTCATAGATATACCGATCATATCATACAATTCTTGGAATTCAAGCTAAATATATCCGATGAAACAACTGACGTATTAGGTGACTAGGTTTTTGCATTATCGGTTGGTTGATAATGTTATACAATACACCTTGAAACAGGAAAAAGAATCTACTGAGTTATAGATACTTCGTGTTCATAACATAAAGCACAACATATACAGAACTAGAAATCATATTATTTCTGTGTTTCACTAAAATTGGTATTTGAACAAAGTGAACACCTAAGTTCTTATTACAAAATGAATCTATTCATCATAATGTTCCTTTATATTGTTATAAATAAAAATAATATATTTGTAATATCCCAATGAGTAGAAAATTGGATTTTCTGACGTTTCGTGACTTAGTGTAAGTCACTTCTTCAGAGACTAAAGTTCAAGTTGGCTAGATATTCAGTCAGTCAGTCAGCTACAACATAGAATCAAGCATATATATGCATCGGTCCAAGTTGCCACATCACATTAACACAACAAGATGAATACCGGATTCATAGAAGTAGTTAATTCAATGGTAGTAGTATAATAAAGCAATATTGCATATAAGGATATAATACAGAAAAAAGATATGAAGGAATTTTGATCTTATAGTTTAAGGGAAGAAAGAGAGTGTACTCACCTGCACCATTGTGATCGATTCTGAGCCATGTCATCCAAAGTCTCCAGCCATTGGTTACGATGATCACGCGAACCTCAACCAAGTAGTTTGCATCTGCCAACATGGCGCAGACCATAAGTTAGTGACTTTATGAACTCATGCCACGTTTTGGTTTGGCCGCCACTAACTTTCTTCCAACCGTCTACAACACTAGCCAACATTGCGCGTCGTGGTAATCGGTATTCGGGCATACGTAACATGTGGCCCAACCACCTCAATCAATGAAGATTTACAACCTCGTCAACTGATTTACCATCAAACCCTAATATCCTACGTCTAACCTCACTATTACTTACCCGGCGATCCCAGCAGATGCGAGCAATATTTCTAAGACATTTGTAATCTAATACGAGTATCTTCTACTATTTATGGCCACGTTTCACAGCCTTAAAGTAAAACAGAATAAGCAGTCGCGCAGTATACTCGTCCCTTAATTAAAAGACGGATATTTCGCCTTCGCCATAGGTGATGTAAGTTGACAAAAGCCAAATTTGCATTCTGAATCCGTGCAGAGACCTCATAAGACACCAATCCATTAGAGATCAAACTTCCAAGATAAGTGAAGTTATCTACGCGTTCCACTTATTCAATCTGTATCCTTAATTCAGATGTTGACGCAGGCCAGTCCTGAAGCAACTTGTATTTAGATGGAGAGAAGAGCATCCCAAACATTCTGGCATTGTTGCTTAGTGCTACCAAAAGACACTGCATTTTATCAGCGTCTTCATCAAACAGGATCTTCCGGTAAGAAATTAATGCCCGAAACTTCAGTCGACGAGAACGTTATTTCCATTAATAGGTCTATGATGAAGTTCAGCAAAAATGTTAAGAATGTGTCTGAAAATATCACACACTTCAAATAGCTAACACCTCTACTTGTCCCATGATCTGTATGGGTGTTATTGTAAATGAAAGGGATAAAAGATGCCTGTAACATGAAAGCTGATCCAACCTATCAACACAGACTGACTAATAATACAAAACAATACCTAGAAGTTGATAGCACAAGTAAGGAGACGAAACGTCTAAAATATCATTTGTACCTCAAGAGAAATTAGACTTAAACTTGCAAAACATGATGGCCTGTGAAGTTCAACATTGTTAGGTATAAGGAAAGCACTAAACGAAGGAAATGGAATATGGTTAGATTTGTGCACCACCCGATCTCGGATCAGTAGTCTAGAAGTTAGGTACCACAATGCTGAAGACGCTGCGTTAGATCCCAGGTAGAGGTCCATTGGTGTGCACTTTTGAAGAGTATCATACTGGGAAGGAAAGGCTATTCAATGCTTCCAGGTTTCCAATGTTTGTCTGTCTTAGATCAATTAGTGATCTGAGTAACTTTCTAATCTCTTGACTGAATGTCAACTTTATAGATTTGAAAGTAATGTCGCAAGATTTGACAGTTTCTGGTTTACTTATTATCAAGATTATTAGATATTCATTACTACAACTAAATTACTATTCAACGATCTATGTTTTTCAATGATTGTTGTAAGCAATATCAGTATGTTATGTATACTATACTGTTCTGTTTTTTTTCTATATGTTATTTACTACATATTTATTTAACTAAATTATGTAATGTTGTTCTATGTCAACAGTATCTGTTGTATTGTTTTAGCATCTAGTTTCAAAACTTGTTCTTAGAATATCACGTCATATTTGGAAGAAGTATTTATTTTTTCAAGGAAAAAAACACACTCATCTTGTACACATTATTCTGTGTACACATTAATCTATGAACAAAAATACTATTAAAGCGAATTCATTTTGTCAGAATACCATCAACTTGAAAATTGAGATTCATTAAAATGAAATTATCTATCATTGGTATAATTTGCATTTTCAGTTTGCTCATTTCACAAGGTGAGTATGAATATTTAAAGAAAGCATAATTTTAGAAGGGGTTTATTTTCCGGATATTATAGTGATTTTAATAGTTGAGATCATGAGTCAATTGAAGCTAGACCACCATGAACAACCTGGAAACACTGGATAGCTCTTTTGTTTCTAGTATGGAATGCGCACTGCTAAGGAGTCCCACAAAAAGATGAAACGGCCATTCAGTGCTTTCAGGTTTTTCATGGTGGTCTAGCTTTAATTAGCTCATGATCTCAACTACTGAAGGTATAATTTATTATATTGTATACCTCTGAAGATATTTTAGTAAATTAAATACTTTTCTATTAATGATATATAAACTTTCATAAAATGATGAATTTTATAGGATTATTTTGTGGCTTAAAAGAGTTTATAACTAAAATGTATATTCTTTTATAAGATTGACATAGCAACTATACTGGCTAACAACTAAGAAAAACAAGTCTGATATCAATAACTATGATAGTTTTATGTTTTCTGATCAAATAAATTTAACCTAAATATTGTAGATTATAATATCTATTCTATCTTTTTATTGATTTATTTATTGAAGTAACTTCTCAAAGTCAACACACCATTGAAAGAGTATAATAATATAATCTGTTTAGGAATAGATGACAATACTTTTAAAGATCCAATACCACTCTTTTTACAACAACATTGTCAACTTAATCTATATTTTGATTTGAATTACTGTTGTTAATAGAATGAACTTTAATATTCAGTTGAAATAACTAATAACTAGTTACTTTTCGTTAGTGAAGATAAACCTATGGAGTCATTAAATATTATGAATGTATGAATGACTATAAGTGCTTTTTTTAAATAGGTTGTTTTGTCAGTGAATGAGCTATTAACTAATTAAATAATTAATTATTAATTATTATTAATGGCTTTATTCAATATTATATTTTTGGTACAATATAGAATTCTCAACACAGGGTATTTCAACAAGTTACTTACGCAAAAAACAGAGACAAAGACATAAAAGGAAAAAAGGTTAAAAAAACCCGAAAAACTGTACAACCCTTCAAATTAGAGACATGTTAAGAATGCAGGTTATTGACTAAGTTAACTCTAACATCCTGTTCGTCACAGGGTATATTTTCTAGGTAAGGTAATATAGAACTTTTATACTTTTGCTTGCGTGCATGAATTTTAATGTAATTACGTCTCGTTCTATCAGAAGATATGCAAGGAGAAAGATGAGAGTGAAGGGGATGGCTAGTATCTGATAAGATAACACCTGCCAGGAGTTTGGATGACTTTAGATGTCTATCCACAACCATATTAATTATGACCTCGAAAGATTCACCACACATCTTGCTAACTGTCTTCAGCACTCTCCGCATTGCACCAAAGTCTTTTCTCAAAAGCCCGGAAAAGAATAATGGAGAACAGTAAAGAATAATAGGTAATATGCAAGAATTGACAAATTGTAAGAGTAAATGTCGACTAATCCCAAGAGCATGCAATCTCTTTATGCAGTAAGTCAGACGGTAAACCTTCTTCGATAACAATAAAACGTGAGAAGATCAAGAGAGATCAGAGGAAAAGGTAACACCAAGATAATTGACCTTCGACACTGTGCTTATCAAATGTCTAACTGTTCTTTACATTTAAGTTTTCAAATAAACACTTTAATGTAAACAACTCAGATCATTTTAAGTTAAATCTTCTTTACAGATAATAATCATAAATAGAATTTCTAAGGATATTTTGATCAGTGATTCATAACCATTTAGTCTAATACAGTAAGAATAAGAAATTTTAAATAGCTAAATTTTAACATTTTCAATTTCATTTAGAATATGGTTATACGATTGATGTGTGAGTTTATTTTTATGTTTTTTTTCCCCTCCTTTTTTTGTGACTTCCATGTTTTCTATTTGGATAGTATTCATTTCATTATTCTTGTTTAGATACAAACTGATTTTCATATAGTTCCTGAAATCATTCAGTTGATTATCAAAATTAAATTGATCTAAGATTTAATTTAAAATCTCATACCGTGTGATCCATTCTTATTTTTATAAATTATCATAAATATATTCTTATTGAGGTTTTACATTGAGAGTTTATGAATTCTTAATTGAATTCAATCTAGGAATTATTGACATTTAAACACTGACATACAATAAATGAATTAGATAAAGTAATCTTCTAATAAACATTCATGAACTTAACTGTTATTCATTTATAAATTGAGAATTTCCTTTTCATAAAATTTAGTAATATTTACAATAACTAGAAGTTAATTATATCTTATAATATTTCACAGATTGAAATCATGAGTTAATTGAATCTAGACCACTATGAGAAATCTGGAAGCACTGGACGGCCGTTTCGTCCTAATATGGGACTCCTCAGTAGTGCTCATCCACGATCCCGTACCCCGCGAGATTCGGACTCGTGACCTATCAGTCTCGCGCCAGGCGCTTAACCGACTAGACTACTGAACCGGCATCCAATTCTTGTTTAATACATCAGTAATAGTAAACATATAAATCAATATATAAAACGATTTTTGATTAGAACAACATATATAAGCGAACAATTGTTTTCAATTAGATCATTATACATGAATATTTACTTGAAAATGTTAAACCAATCAAGGCAATTTGGGTCAATAATCCATGGCCAGTTATAACTTGGCTAACGAATAAAAAATGTTTTTAAAATGTGACCAGTGGAGTTCAACCGGGTCAGTTGTGAGGTAGTAACTCACTGATGACAATGGTGGATGTGTCGCTCAATTTCGTGGATTAGTTGAAGTTAGACATTAACACCATTGGATGTCGGCTCAGTAGTCTAACTGGTTAAGCGCCTGGTGCGAGATGGATACGTCTCGGGTTCGAACCCCGCGAGGCGGGATCGTCGATGCCCACTGCTGAGGAGTCCCACAATAGGGTGGAACGGCCGTCCAGTGCTTCCAGGTTTCCCATGGTGGTCTAGCTTCAATTGACTCATGATCTCAACTGTTGAAATTTCTAAAATATCCACAAAACTCGTTCTAATTTATTTATATTGTTCTATTTTGTTATCATTGACCTTATTTTCACATCCATTATTTGTTTGTGATTTTCCGCCTCTTGCCGTTTGTATTCACCACTATCTAATTATTTACATACTTCTTATTACGTAATGATTTTAATGTTTTGTGATGACTATTCGAAGTCAATTTACCCACATTTGACCTTCTATTTCCAACGTTTGACTATTGATCATACTTTTGTTATCGTATTTTATTATTCTTACTATTATCAGTTCACCTGTCTTCCTATTATCAACTTGAATTTTTACTTATTATGTGTGGTAACCCATTCCATTTCATTGTGATTATTGACCCAAATTGCCTTGATTGGTTTAACATTTTCATATCAATATTCATGTATATTAGAGTAAAGTCTGATAACGATTTAATTGAAAACAATTGTTCGATTATATATATTGTTCTGATTTCTGATTAATCACACTTTAAAGAGATTACATTATAGATTAGAACAGTAATTCAGGAACACATGGAAATAATCTCCATGTGATTGATGATTATTGTAGTTCCTGATGAGGTAAACTGGAGTCTCCACTACAACAAGAGCTTATATATACATATTCATGAAAAATTATTTCTGAATGTATAATCTGTCAATTTGTCGGCGTAAAGTACATTTTTCAAGAAAAAAATTAGTTTCCTTATTGAAATTCATCATTTCACTGAATATTTAAAAATGAATTGATAGTTTCTAAAGAATAATTAGAAATTATTTTAACTTATAAATGTTTACAAAGCAATATGAGTGATTTAAAACAAAAACAGTGAGTGTTGTTATGCTATTTGTTGTTTTTAATTCATCTTTAAATTATGACTGATCAACGAATGTTATCAATGTTATCCTTCTACTTTAAAAACCTTAAATTCATTTATTGTTTAGTAAAATGGTTTAAGCAATTTAACCATGTATAATGAATTGAGTTGATATAGATGATGAATTGAACTTAAGAAAAAAAACAAACAATAGAATATAATCTTGTAGATTTGATAATAATTTATTATTGAAATGAGTAATACTACTGAATATGTTAAATAGTCAACAGAAGTTAACAGAGAAGTGAAATCTAATTCAGTTGGTGTTAAGAAAAAAAATGAACCTTTTTGATGGAGTTTTGTTCTCTGAGCTGGATGGTTTGGTCGTGGAACTTTCATCATTCTTTTGAACGACATCATCAGCACAAACTTCAGATAGAAGTGAAGTGTTAGAATTTCTCTATATGCGTTTTACAGCTTGTGAAATTCGAACACTTCACTTCTATTTGAAGTTTGTGCTGATGATGTCGTTCAGAAGAATGATGAAAGTTCCCCGACCAAACCATCCAGCTCAGAGAACAAAACTCCATCAAAATCATCCATCTGAGCTACAAATCTTCTTCACCGTTTCAAAAAAAGAACCAGTTGAATTTAGTGTTACATGAGCTTTTTTTCCCCAGTTTATTCTGATAAATACTTCATAAATATAAACATGAGTTTTGTAGAAAGTTAAATCACATAAAACATTGTTAATATATATGAACATTCCAAAGATATTATACTTATTTTCATGGTTTAACGGTAGGGAAAATATTTAAGTTACATCACATTATATTTGCTTGCCATTAGTCTCAACATCAGAGCAACAAAGATTTCTTTCTTTCAGAAGTAGGTAACTTATTGTTTTGACATAATACTTAGTATGAAGTTGGTTATTATCAAATATTAGATTTTAAGTTATTAGTTAATCACTAACTTATTCAACATAAACCTACAATTATTTATAATACACAAATCTGTGCATAGCAACTAATTTAGTAATCCATTAAATTAAGCTTAATCTTTATATTAAAAAAATGGATATATTCAATGCCTTCAATTATTTTGTCTTTAATGTTTACGTATTATCTAAATAGTGCTGTTATTTCTGTTAGTTTTATACTAATTTATGGTCAAAAAAGACTTGAACATAATACTTCATTATTATTTATTTAATTGATAGATATGTAAGAGCCAAACTTGATTCATTGAAGTAAGTATTAACATTTAAATTACATTTATTTATCATTCATTCCATTAAAAATATCCCTAAGTAACAGCAAATTAAGAATTAATAATGATGTTATTTGATGTGATATTTGTTATTAAGAACGAATAATTCAAACCTGATATGATAATGAGTGATTACTTTAGAAACCTTAAGAAATAATGAGTACAAGGCACCACAGTTTATAAGCTTACACAACTCTGGTTTGAATAATTTTTTTCTCTGGTTAGCGTTTTCTTTCTAGAGAGTTAGTTTTTTGAGGGGTGGAGTCGTAACCCCATGCCCAACTCTCCTCCTTTATCCGGGCTTGGGACTGACAGTAGCCCCAGAGGGGCTCCGGGAAGAGTTTTACACAACTCTAATACATTTAAATGTAGCATATATAAATTTACTAGCAAGTTGAGTTGTTTGAAGTATTTGTACAATACAACTGTGAATATAATAAATGCTGAATTATCAATTCAAATTACTGCTTGATACCTATGATCATTACTGAAATTACCCAGTATTTTCAGGTATCATAAATGTTATTCACTCCAAACTTTTGTCGGTTATACTGTTCTATATATATATCAAAAATGAATTGAAGTTGGCAATTTGAATTATTAGTTATTGACTTAGTTGCTTAGCAGTACATGATTAACTGTTAGGTTAGAATATCATGCTTTCTACAGTGTTCAGTAACGAGCGTACAGTGAAGCAGTAAAATGTATTAATAATCAAATGAATAAATAACCAGTCAAAATATAATTGAACATTAACTATCTTAATTCAGTGTGAATATGTTTGCCTGTTGTCATTTGACTACTAATTGATGTAAAATACAAACTATCTATAAGTATATAATCTTCCTTATAAAAACCCAATAACGTATCTGTACATTCAGTAATGATAGTAGATGAGTTTCCTGCATGTATTTTATTCACCATGCTAGATAACCTCCTAATAAATAGAGATAAAGTCCATGAGGTTTCTTTTAGCTATCGGAAAACAAAATAACCGAACACAGTGAATAAAATTTGACCAAAAGGTGTAGACCGAGAGTCTAATTTCTCAGAATTTCAAAGGATTTTATAATCAATTCAAAGCTACATGAGACACGTATATTGTCACAAGTGAGGCATAATTTGAAAGTGATAAGATTAATACATCCTAAAAAATTTTAAAGCTTATTTAATGTTTTTATTGTGAACAGTATGTATTTTCAATGTCGAACACTAGCTATCCTGTTATATTCAAATATTTGATGTTACGTTTCTAAATATCATGATATAAGTTTTGACACATTATTATTAACATCTTTTTATTTGCTTCACCATATTTAATGTTGAAATGAATAGTGTAGTTCAACCGGGGATGTTATGAGATAGTAACTCACTGATAGGTTTTGAGTTCGAATCTCGCGAAGCGAGGTTGTGGGTGCGTACTGCTGAGGAGTCCCATACTAGTATTATACGGCCATGCAGTGCTTCCAGGTTTTCCATGGTAGTCTAGCTTCAATTGACTCATGAATTTAATTATTTAAAATATTTTTAATTATTATCAATTTTGTACTATAATTTTAAAATGTCACAAATACTATCAATATTTCTTGGTAACTTACAATGTTAGCATTACAAGTGTATAGTGATTTCATAGAACCCCTGTAGAGAACAAGAAGACGGGTGGGGACAAACGGATGTATTTAGGACAACAATTACAGTCTATCTCAACAAAATCTGAATACTATATAGTAGATCATCAATTTGCAAAATATTCATGCATCAAACCAAACTGGACTGTTTCTGTTGCAAACACCAATCCATTGTCTCCCATTCCATTGTTCATGCATTTTCTTACAAATTCCATTGTATTCTCGCTCTACCTTTCTTGATCTTCGCCATTTTCCGCTGCCAGACATTACGTTTTTTAACGCACATTATATACTACTTATACCAATATAAGTACCTCACACCACATCCCTATCATAAATTGAATAATCATAAATATCTTGTCTAAATTATGTTTTCTTTAATTATTCAGTCAATATTTACAGTCAAGGGGAATGTAAGTGTTTCCATTTTTTTAAATTCTCAAATTCTTTTTTTGGAATATAAACATTTTTGTTGTTGTTAATTTACTGAAACAACTTTTATTAATCTTATGAAGCTTAATAGTTTTAATGCATATTATACTTTTGTCTAACAGGTTGTAGTAACTGTTAGCAAGTTCCAGGAATTTAGGAAAAGCATATCTCAATCAAATTGTTCTTATTAATGTTGTATAAGTTTTATAACCAGTAGCATAAAGTTTACAACACTTTATGTAACTGAATTATGTTTAATAATGAGTCAGTATGAAAATATGCTTTATTCATACAATTTCTTGTTAACACTTATATTATCTTAGTCTTCTCTATTGCATATAAGTTTAAGCTGACAATTTATTTTCAATTTTATTTCTATAATTTATTAAATCAATTACTGTTTTATACAAAATACTGAGAAAAACAATATAGATCATTGATTATTTCACAAAGTATTGTTCCTTTACTAAACGTTTTCAATGAGCTTCTCTATATCAATACATCATAACTATACGTTTAAATACAGATGATAAAGGTATCACAATGTATTAGTTGGCTTAGAAATGATGAATATACCTTTGTTATCCTAATAGTATTCATTTAGTTATCTAGATCATATAATTTTAAAGTAATATTTATTAAGATAATGAAATTGAAGTAGATCAACTTGTATTATACTCTCTTGTTTGTATATAAACAATGAAGTAATGATTTCATTCAATAAAACTTCTTATCAGTGACAATATCAAATATGTACCGCTAAATTTGATTTTACTGTAGCAAACAATTTTTTTTAAAAAAAAATAATACAAATTCTTAGCTAAAAATACAGAATAGGAAAATAGGAAAATTCTAGTTTTCAAAATGTAACCATTGAGATGAATAATGAAAAATAGAATCTTTGAAAATTCTGACTGTTTCAATCATTATTAAGGCATTGATGAATTTTGCAATATCAACAAAAGTCAAAATACAGTTGGAAAATTTCAATATGCAGCATAACAATAAATCTAAGCAATAAAACATCAAGTCAATTTAGTTCGCTTATCAATCACATTTTGATAAAAAAAAAGCCCAGCTTTTACTAAGATAACTTCCAAATTTCGATCCCTTTCAAAATACATAAAATGTCAAGTAGTACCTATTAAGTATGGATCATATGTCTCAATCTATCTGATTTATTAAAAGTATGAATCTATTTCACTCTTTTGTTTCTTAACATACTAATACATTTAGTAACAAACAATTCACCGAAGACGAGTGAGTTTATTCAGATAACTATTCTAACTAAAAGATAAGTAAGCTAATGTATAAAGTGCTGGAATTTCTGGGGATTAATTCAGTAGTGTTTCCATTTGTCAATACCGTAAATACAGTGCCCAAAGCTGGTGACATTGAAAATGCTCCGAGTGAGATCATTCAATTAGTATTACCAATAAAATTCCCCTTAATATTATTAATTGCCCATAAATTTAATCAATGGAGATAACCATATGTGAAATAGTAACTGAAATAGTAACATACTATTTCAGTAATAGTAGTGAATATCAGTTAATCTAGGAATCACGAATCGTCAGATATTCTGGTGTTTACTACGATTTCAGTAGAACAATCACATAGAAATTGGATTCAGTCTACAAATTATGCTGAAGTAATTGAAGGAGACTGACGATTAATATCTGATGCAGTTGTTTGTTTTGGTAACTAACGAAACTAAACTTTGTGATATTTTCAGTAAAGATGAACAACAATCTAATAAATAGTGACCAAATTATAAATTCATGAAGAGAGGATAGAACGACAAGTAGTATCGAAGCAGAAAAAGAAATGGAATAGAATAGTAAATTTCAAAAAAGATACTAGAATGACAGTAGTAGTCGTATCGATAATGTTCTCATGGAATTGATGATACAATCCCAACAAAATATATCGCAATACTAGAATCACTAATCAAATGATTTGATGCATTTCTTTAGTAATTAAAATCTTCAGTCATCGATTTTATTCGAAAGATAGTGAAACTATAAACAGTCTGTTTATGATGAAAACGTCTAGTTAACAAAATGACTAGTAAGACGACACTTTCATCCGTCGATTTAATTTTAATGTTAGTCATAATAACTTAATAGTATTCATCACAATGTACATAACAGAATAATCACCATATAAATCATACTACAAATCAGAATCATATGATATAACAAAAACTGAGTTGTGAACCGCTGTTTTGAAACCAAGGATACAACATATAGAAGTTATTTTTTACTTCCTGTATACTTTTATACAAATAATAAAGTAAATAATTGATATGTATTTTAATCTTTATTAGTTTAATCGTTTTTATCTTGTTCTTATTAAATAAGATTCTACAAAATCATATATGATAGGTAAGTACATGATATATAGATGTGATTAACTCTATAGACGAACCATTAGAATCTGATTTATACACCAAAATCATTATTTGTCACCTAATTAAGAACTTGGAAATTACATTATTATAAATTTTAAGAACTGGATTAGTTAGACTTAAACATGAACAAGACAAGAATACTTAAATCTTTTGGTAACCTTTGTACTGTTAAATAATTAGGTTAGAATGATTTGATCAACATCTTACAACTATATAATGATTCAGATTAAACAATCATATTGAAAACGAGTGAGTTCATTCAATGTTTTATAACATATTTCTACGTAAAACATTCTCTACAAATTATTATAAACTATTAGTTATGCTTATTAGAATGAATGATTTTAAACGATCATATGATCAGAAATTCTCTTTGATAAATTGCATATTGAAATAATTTTAAAGATATTTTATTCGTCTTACAGAATTACATTGTTACTTAGGACTGCAATTGATCAGTCTCTTGTCGGCATATTTGCGTCCTGTGCGGACTACCTCGATATTGCCTGAAGTCACAAGCTTTACAAGTAAAGATGGATAGTGGTTATCAATGGAATGCAGGACGCGCGTTTCGTCCTATTTGGGACTCATCAGCTATACTTGCATCTCAAAGTTGATGTTCACTCTGGGACTGAAACCCAGTACTGTTCGCTTCAAACACCATCACGTTATCCACTTAGCTATTGATTCCTGATAACCACTTGCTTGTGCAATGGCTTTTAGATGCAATTACACTTTAGTTAAATTAAAAGCGTATATGTACTTATACGAATAATTTCTGAAAAATTCCAAGATGTAGTCTGTAATCAACGTTGGTATTTATTGTAATATGGTACAATTAACAAAATACATAACAAATAATGGAATAAAAATTAGCTAAGTATTTAAGTAGAAGGAAACAGAAACGGCAAACTAAGTCAATATTTCTATGTGAAAACAATAAAGAATTTAACAAAAGTAATATGATATTTCATTATTGTATTGTTATTTCAATTCTCTTATTGATGTTTATGACTGCAATTAATCAGTCTCCTATTGGCATATATTCATTCTGTGAGGAATGTCTCGATATTGTCTTAAATCACAAGTAATATAATCAGAGATGATAGTGGTTAGATGTGGAATGCAGGTCGCACGTTTCATCCCATTTTGAAAGCGATGAATTTTAAGGCGAACGGTATTGGTTTCGAGTCCCGGAGTAAAAATTAACTCTGGAATGTAAATACATTCAGCTAACGAGTCCAAAGTAGGAAGAAACGCGTGTCTTGGATTCCACTGTAAGCCACCGTCATTTCTACTCATAATAAGATATTTGTTAAAAATTCCAGAAAAGGCGATGTCCGCATAATTGAAAAGTGAGCATTTGTTTATTAAAATGTTTAAATTAAATTGATTATCAAAATTTTTAATGACTGAAGTTTTCAGAATTTACTTAAAATTTTATAAAAGCCACATGTGAACAGATAATTTTAGCCAACTCAGTACAATCAAACATCATGAAACTACTGAATACTGACGGATGTATCGTTTGACAAATCGAAAGAAGAATAAAATCCAATCATTAATTTGAGCATAAAGGTAAAAACTAAATAAATGAACAAATATAAAAACAATTCAGTCGGTCATATGCAAATAGATCCTGTCATATTTGTGTCTCGAACAAAGTTACCTCATCATTTCGTCACAGACAATTAGTATATGTAAACCAATTCAAAAATAGCAGCAGTAATAAAGTTATACGTAGTAGAAGTAGTAGTAGTGTAGTGAAGGAGAATACAGGTGAGGACAACCGAATTATATTTAGCAAAAAACTACAGAGTTACTTGGTAAAATAGAAAACCATACTATAATACGTAATTTGCAAAATGTTCAATAATTGTCTCGAACTTCATTGTTCTTACATTTCCATACTAATTGCTTTCCAATTCCGCTCTTCCTTTCTTGATCTTCCCAAACTTCTGCCGCCAGCAATAACATTCCTGACTCGCGGCATATACTACTTATATCAATATACGTAGCACGCACCACAGTAGTTGTCGTAGTAGCAGTAGTAGTAGTAGAAAAGAATAGAAATGTACAGTATGAATTGGCAACAGAGAAAGAATTTGAAAATAAGATTAAAATGTTATTGTAACTCATGTTTTATAAGAGGACGGAAGTCAAATGCCTCTGAACTGGTAAAACTGATTGTGAGATATATAAAGCGATCAATTCAAAAATTTATTTATGATAATCGAGTGAAACCATACCGTGAAGAATAAATTTAACGATATTCTATAATTCAACAGGCAGTAAATTCAGAGAAAAATGTCATATTTTTATAAAAAAGTGACTAACACTTTCTGCCGACTCCAAATCACAATTAAATTTTCCAACATAGAAAAAACTGAGCGTGCGGAAAAAATTCCAACAAAGTCATATGATTAAAAAAACCTTACATAATCAACCCAAAATAAAATATATATTTAACACCTTGTATAAAATCGGGTACACTGACAGTTTACAAATCAGATAAATCAATATTTGTCAGAAAGATACAAATCTGTTTCCTCACTTGTATTGTTCTAACTTCCAAATAATATTAGGATCTCATATAACATCCCCAAATAGTGTCTTTTAACTGACCTGTCTTATCATCTGACAGCTCTAGTTGTTTACCAATAAAGCATAACAACATCAAACTAAACCTCATATAGTGCAGAGCAGACAACAATTATTTACCTTCCTCTTACACATAATGTAATCATCATCAAGGGCGCACATTAAAGTTCGTTGGTGAATCAGGTTGTAGGGTGTCCAATAAACCAGATAATCTCACATCACAACATTTTCAAGAAAATAAAATTCGTAATATTTGCAACGAGGAGTTGACGGAAATCAAGTGTTATGAATGAAATCTCTCATTTATCATTCGCATAGCTGGTTATCATCAATCTACATCGATTGTGTCACGCGTCACTGATAGAGTCTACAAAATACAATGGGATGTAATTGTATAGCAAATAAAACCAAAATAATATGGTCAATCTGAGCAACATCTCGAATAAAATATCACGTCCATTATCACTCATAAGACACATAGAAAACTACCAAACCGAACAATGGTTTACACAGATTGAAGACACTGAAACACTATAAAGATAATCCAACAGCTCAAATTCGCTCAATACTAACAACCTAATCGAAACAAACAATATGATCATTCACAGGATGGTATAATAAATGAAAGAATGTCTCACTTTAGAAAGCATTTGTCAATACACCATATCTCTATATTAATCAAATATTCCAGAATAGCTTATAAAATTACAGAGGATGCATTTCATATCATCACATGCAATCAACCAAATAAACTGTTCTCTAGAATTAGTGAGAATTCATCCCAAAACATTCTATAAAAGCTTTCATTAGTAAATCTAAAGCACAGATTCTTAAGGAATTTATTCAGAAAAGCCATTAGAATCTACTGAAAGTCAGATAAACTATGTATTATTTGATGGAGAGAGATTCGTGATCGAACCCATGAATTGTGAACTGTTAAATGAATGGAACATCAATAACAATGGTCAGAATTAATGATTCCTTAGGTAGTATGAATATTGGTAGTAGACTCATTGTAATTTAAACACCATCAAATATATGACTCACATTACGATGAGGAAATTCGATCTGATTTCTATTATTTAGAGATGTCCCCAAACGTCCAGTGCCAAAGTGAGTGAACTGACAGTTGTTATTGATTCATTTTTTTATTATTCTATATGTTTAACATTATCGCTACAGTTATAAAGAGAGTGAATACAGATTGTCTGAAGGAGGCTGTTGTCATTCAACTGCATGTGAGCGTTTTTCCAGAGAGAATGGCACAAACAATTTGTGAAATTCGCTTGTCTACTATAATCTCACCTGACTGTCTAAAAGTGATTTATCTTAATTCTCCTATATAGTATAAATGATAACCAACCTATTCAGAAGTGAGTCAATCGTCTGTAGTCATTTATCATATTGAGTTTTTCGTTGTTTCACAAATTTATTCTTGTAGTTTGTCCATCATAGTTTATCGGTTCGTGTTCAATTCCTATATTTGTCTATATGTCTTATCCACTATTTTATCAATTTGGATCAATTGAATTCTGAGATTACCACCTATTCATAATGATCTCGCTTACTCATATTAAACTTATTCATCTCATCTGCACTGTCCAGAGATAATGGCAACCATCTTGTACAAGAGCGAGTAAATTCCTCATTGGCTATTTCTAAATTTAATGAATACGTTGTATAAAATTGGGTACACTGACAGTTTACAAATCAGATAAATCAATATTTGTCAGAAAGATACAAATCTGTTTCCTCACTTGTATTGTTCTAACTTCCAAATAATATTAGGATCTCATATAACATCCCCAAATAGTGTCTTTTAACTGACCTGTCTTATCATCTGACAGCTCTAGTTGTTTACCAATAAAGCATAACAACATCAAACTAAACCTCATATAGTGCAGAGCAGACAACAATTATTTACCTTCCTCTTACACATAATGTAATCATCATCAAGGGCGCACATTAAAGTTCGTTGGTGAATCAGGTTGTAGGGTGTCCAATAAACCAGATAATCTCACATCACAACATTTTCAAGAAAATAAAATTCGTAATATTTGCAACGAGGAGTTGACGGAAATCAAGTGTTATGAATGAAATCTCTCATTTATCATTCGCATAGCTGGTTATCATCAATCTACATCGATTGTGTCACGCGTCACTGATAGAGTCTACAAAATACAATGGGATGTAATTGTATAGCAAATAAAACCAAAATAATATGGTCAATCTGAGCAACATCTCGAATAAAATATCACGTCCATTATCACTCATAAGACACATAGAAAACTACCAAACCGAACAATGGTTTACACAGATTGAAGACACTGAAACACTATAAAGATAATCCAACAGCTCAAATTCGCTCAATACTAACAACCTAATCGAAACAAACAATATGATCATTCACAGGATGGTATAATAAATGAAAGAATGTCTCACTTTAGAAAGCATTTGTCAATACACCATATCTCTATATTAATCAAATATTCCAGAATAGCTTATAAAATTACAGAGGATGCATTTCATATCATCACATGCAATCAACCAAATAAACTGTTCTCTAGAATTAGTGAGAATTCATCCCAAAACATTCTATAAAAGCTTTCATTAGTAAATCTAAAGCACAGATTCTTAAGGAATTTATTCAGAAAAGCCATTAGAATCTACTGAAAGTCAGATAAACTATGTATTATTTGATGGAGAGAGATTCGTGATCGAACCCATGAATTGTGAACTGTTAAATGAATGGAACATCAATAACAATGGTCAGAATTAATGATTCCTTAGGTAGTATGAATATTGGTAGTAGACTCATTGTAATTTAAACACCATCAAATATATGACTCACATTACGATGAGGAAATTCGATCTGATTTCTATTATTTAGAGATGTCCCCAAACGTCCAGTGCCAAAGTGAGTGAACTGACAGTTGTTATTGATTCATTTTTTTATTATTCTATATGTTTAACATTATCGCTACAGTTATAAAGAGAGTGAATACAGATTGTCTGAAGGAGGCTGTTGTCATTCAACTGCATGTGAGCGTTTTTCCAGAGAGAATGGCACAAACAATTTGTGAAATTCGCTTGTCTACTATAATCTCACCTGACTGTCTAAAAGTGATTTATCTTAATTCTCCTATATAGTATAAATGATAACCAACCTATTCAGAAGTGAGTCAATCGTCTGTAGTCATTTATCATATTGAGTTTTTCGTTGTTTCACAAATTTATTCTTGTAGTTTGTCCATCATAGTTTATCGGTTCGTGTTCAATTCCTATATTTGTCTATATGTCTTATCCACTATTTTATCAATTTGGATCAATTGAATTCTGAGATTACCACCTATTCATAATGATCTCGCTTACTCATATTAAACTTATTCATCTCATCTGCACTGTCCAGAGATAATGGCAACCATCTTGTACAAGAGCGAGTAAATTCCTCATTGGCTATTTCTAAATTTAATGAATACGTTGTATAAAATTGGGTACACTGACAGTTTACAAATCAGATAAATCAATATTTGTCAGAAAGATACAAATCTGTTTCCTCACTTGTATTGTTCTAACTTCCAAATAATATTAGGATCTCATATAACATCCCCAAATAGTGTCTTTTAACTGACCTGTCTTATCATCTGACAGCTCTAGTTGTTTACCAATAAAGCATAACAACATCAAACTAAACCTCATATAGTGCAGAGCAGACAACAATTATTTACCTTCCTCTTACACATAATGTAATCATCATCAAGGGCGCACATTAAAGTTCGTTGGTGAATCAGGTTGTAGGGTGTCCAATAAACCAGATAATCTCACATCACAACATTTTCAAGAAAATAAAATTCGTAATATTTGCAACGAGGAGTTGACGGAAATCAAGTGTTATGAATGAAATCTCTCATTTATCATTCGCATAGCTGGTTATCATCAATCTACATCGATTGTGTCACGCGTCACTGATAGAGTCTACAAAATACAATGGGATGTAATTGTATAGCAAATAAAACCAAAATAATATGGTCAATCTGAGCAACATCTCGAATAAAATATCACGTCCATTATCACTCATAAGACACATAGAAAACTACCAAACCGAACAATGGTTTACACAGATTGAAGACACTGAAACACTATAAAGATAATCCAACAGCTCAAATTCGCTCAATACTAACAACCTAATCGAAACAAACAATATGATCATTCACAGGATGGTATAATAAATGAAAGAATGTCTCACTTTAGAAAGCATTTGTCAATACACCATATCTCTATATTAATCAAATATTCCAGAATAGCTTATAAAATTACAGAGGATGCATTTCATATCATCACATGCAATCAACCAAATAAACTGTTCTCTAGAATTAGTGAGAATTCATCCCAAAACATTCTATAAAAGCTTTCATTAGTAAATCTAAAGCACAGATTCTTAAGGAATTTATTCAGAAAAGCCATTAGAATCTACTGAAAGTCAGATAAACTATGTATTATTTGATGGAGAGAGATTCGTGATCGAACCCATGAATTGTGAACTGTTAAATGAATGGAACATCAATAACAATGGTCAGAATTAATGATTCCTTAGGTAGTATGAATATTGGTAGTAGACTCATTGTAATTTAAACACCATCAAATATATGACTCACATTACGATGAGGAAATTCGATCTGATTTCTATTATTTAGAGATGTCCCCAAACGTCCAGTGCCAAAGTGAGTGAACTGACAGTTGTTATTGATTCATTTTTTTATTATTCTATATGTTTAACATTATCGCTACAGTTATAAAGAGAGTGAATACAGATTGTCTGAAGGAGGCTGTTGTCATTCAACTGCATGTGAGCGTTTTTCCAGAGAGAATGGCACAAACAATTTGTGAAATTCGCTTGTCTACTATAATCTCACCTGACTGTCTAAAAGTGATTTATCTTAATTCTCCTATATAGTATAAATGATAACCAACCTATTCAGAAGTGAGTCAATCGTCTGTAGTCATTTATCATATTGAGTTTTTCGTTGTTTCACAAATTTATTCTTGTAGTTTGTCCATCATAGTTTATCGGTTCGTGTTCAATTCCTATATTTGTCTATATGTCTTATCCACTATTTTATCAATTTGGATCAATTGAATTCTGAGATTACCACCTATTCATAATGATCTCGCTTACTCATATTAAACTTATTCATCTCATCTGCACTGTCCAGAGATAATGGCAACCATCTTGTACAAGAGCGAGTAAATTCCTCATTGGCTATTTCTAAATTTAATGAATACGTTGTATAAAATTGGGTACACTGACAGTTTACAAATCAGATAAATCAATATTTGTCAGAAAGATACAAATCTGTTTCCTCACTTGTATTGTTCTAACTTCCAAATAATATTAGGATCTCATATAACATCCCCAAATAGTGTCTTTTAACTGACCTGTCTTATCATCTGACAGCTCTAGTTGTTTACCAATAAAGCATAACAACATCAAACTAAACCTCATATAGTGCAGAGCAGACAACAATTATTTACCTTCCTCTTACACATAATGTAATCATCATCAAGGGCGCACATTAAAGTTCGTTGGTGAATCAGGTTGTAGGGTGTCCAATAAACCAGATAATCTCACATCACAACATTTTCAAGAAAATAAAATTCGTAATATTTGCAACGAGGAGTTGACGGAAATCAAGTGTTATGAATGAAATCTCTCATTTATCATTCGCATAGCTGGTTATCATCAATCTACATCGATTGTGTCACGCGTCACTGATAGAGTCTACAAAATACAATGGGATGTAATTGTATAGCAAATAAAACCAAAATAATATGGTCAATCTGAGCAACATCTCGAATAAAATATCACGTCCATTATCACTCATAAGACACATAGAAAACTACCAAACCGAACAATGGTTTACACAGATTGAAGACACTGAAACACTATAAAGATAATCCAACAGCTCAAATTCGCTCAATACTAACAACCTAATCGAAACAAACAATATGATCATTCACAGGATGGTATAATAAATGAAAGAATGTCTCACTTTAGAAAGCATTTGTCAATACACCATATCTCTATATTAATCAAATATTCCAGAATAGCTTATAAAATTACAGAGGATACATTTCATATCATCACATGCAATCAACCAAATAAACTGTTCTCTAGAATTAGTGAGAATTCATCCCAAAACATTCTATAAAAGCTTTCATTAGTAAATCTAAAGCACAGATTCTTAAGGAATTTATTCAGAAAAGCCATTAGAATCTACTGAAAGTCAGATAAACTATGTATTATTTGATGGAGAGAGATTCGTGATCGAACCCATGAATTGTGAACTGTTAAATGAATGGAACATCAATAACAATGGTCAGAATTAATGATTCCTTAGGTAGTATGAATATTGGTAGTAGACTCATTGTAATTTAAACACCATCAAATATATGACTCACATTACGATGAGGAAATTCGATCTGATTTCTATTATTTAGAGATGTCCCCAAACGTCCAGTGCCAAAGTGAGTGAACTGACAGTTGTTATTGATTCATTTTTTTATTATTCTATATGTTTAACATTATCGCTACAGTTATAAAGAGAGTGAATACAGATTGTCTGAAGGAGGCTGTTGTCATTCAACTGCATGTGAGCGTTTTTCCAGAGAGAATGGCACAAACAATTTGTGAAATTCGCTTGTCTACTATAATCTCACCTGACTGTCTAAAAGTGATTTATCTTAATTCTCCTATATAGTATAAATGATAACCAACCTATTCAGAAGTGAGTCAATCGTCTGTAGTCATTTATCATATTGAGTTTTTCGTTGTTTCACAAATTTATTCTTGTAGTTTGTCCATCATAGTTTATCGGTTCGTGTTCAATTCCTATATTTGTCTATATGTCTTATCCACTATTTTATCAATTTGGATCAATTGAATTCTGAGATTACCACCTATTCATAATGATCTCGCTTACTCATATTAAACTTATTCATCTCATCTGCACTGTCCAGAGATAATGGCAACCATCTTGTACAAGAGCGAGTAAATTCCTCATTGGCTATTTCTAAATTTAATGAATACGTTGTATAAAATTGGGTACACTGACAGTTTACAAATCAGATAAATCAATATTTGTCAGAAAGATACAAATCTGTTTCCTCACTTGTATTGTTCTAACTTCCAAATAATATTAGGATCTCATATAACATCCCCAAATAGTGTCTTTTAACTGACCTGTCTTATCATCTGACAGCTCTAGTTGTTTACCAATAAAGCATAACAACATCAAACTAAACCTCATATAGTGCAGAGCAGACAACAATTATTTACCTTCCTCTTACACATAATGTAATCATCATCAAGGGCGCACATTAAAGTTCGTTGGTGAATCAGGTTGTAGGGTGTCCAATAAACCAGATAATCTCACATCACAACATTTTCAAGAAAATAAAATTCGTAATATTTGCAACGAGGAGTTGACGGAAATCAAGTGTTATGAATGAAATCTCTCATTTATCATTCGCATAGCTGGTTATCATCAATCTACATCGATTGTGTCACGCGTCACTGATAGAGTCTACAAAATACAATGGGATGTAATTGTATAGCAAATAAAACCAAAATAATATGGTCAATCTGAGCAACATCTCGAATAAAATATCACGTCCATTATCACTCATAAGACACATAGAAAACTACCAAACCGAACAATGGTTTACACAGATTGAAGACACTGAAACACTATAAAGATAATCCAACAGCTCAAATTCGCTCAATACTAACAACCTAATCGAAACAAACAATATGATCATTCACAGGATGGTATAATAAATGAAAGAATGTCTCACTTTAGAAAGCATTTGTCAATACACCATATCTCTATATTAATCAAATATTCCAGAATAGCTTATAAAATTACAGAGGATGCATTTCATATCATCACATGCAATCAACCAAATAAACTGTTCTCTAGAATTAGTGAGAATTCATCCCAAAACATTCTATAAAAGCTTTCATTAGTAAATCTAAAGCACAGATTCTTAAGGAATTTATTCAGAAAAGCCATTAGAATCTACTGAAAGTCAGATAAACTATGTATTATTTGATGGAGAGAGATTCGTGATCGAACCCATGAATTGTGAACTGTTAAATGAATGGAACATCAATAACAATGGTCAGAATTAATGATTCCTTAGGTAGTATGAATATTGGTAGTAGACTCATTGTAATTTAAACACCATCAAATATATGACTCACATTACGATGAGGAAATTCGATCTGATTTCTATTATTTAGAGATGTCCCCAAACGTCCAGTGCCAAAGTGAGTGAACTGACAGTTGTTATTGATTCATTTTTTTATTATTCTATATGTTTAACATTATCGCTACAGTTATAAAGAGAGTGAATACAGATTGTCTGAAGGAGGCTGTTGTCATTCAACTGCATGTGAGCGTTTTTCCAGAGAGAATGGCACAAACAATTTGTGAAATTCGCTTGTCTACTATAATCTCACCTGACTGTCTAAAAGTGATTTATCTTAATTCTCCTATATAGTATAAATGATAACCAACCTATTCAGAAGTGAGTCAATCGTCTGTAGTCATTTATCATATTGAGTTTTTCGTTGTTTCACAAATTTATTCTTGTAGTTTGTCCATCATAGTTTATCGGTTCGTGTTCAATTCCTATATTTGTCTATATGTCTTATCCACTATTTTATCAATTTGGATCAATTGAATTCTGAGATTACCACCTATTCATAATGATCTCGCTTACTCATATTAAACTTATTCATCTCATCTGCACTGTCCAGAGATAATGGCAACCATCTTGTACAAGAGCGAGTAAATTCCTCATTGGCTATTTCTAAATTTAATGAATACGTTGTATAAAATTGGGTACACTGACAGTTTACAAATCAGATAAATCAATATTTGTCAGAAAGATACAAATCTGTTTCCTCACTTGTATTATTCTAACTTTATATTTATATTACATTTGTTATTCGACTTTTCACAATTATCAAATTTTAATATTTTTAAAGAGAGTTTGTTTTCTTGCTTACATAAATTTAAATTGTAATTGATGAAGTCGTGGCACTATATAATTTTTTGAACTGTGTTGAACACTCTTTGTTTGAATGTTTTATTCGTTTATATTAATCAGTCAGTGTTTGGCCTCAATGTGTATATGAATATGTATGTGTGTATGTATGGAAGGTGTTCTATGCATTGAATTGTAGATGTCATTCTGAATGATTGTTGGAAATCAGTGAAGACATCAATTCTCTCTACCGAATGTGATATATTAAAAGAGTGGTTCATATATTTGAATAGTTAATGGAGTATAAATGCACATGTTGCAGACAACATGAGATATCAGATGACAAATCCTTATCATAACTTCAAAATGTAAAGTGTGTTCGAATTAGTCGTGAGATCCTTATGGCTTCAATCACTTGACTGTTTACAAGTGTTCAGTTGTCTTTTCATAGTAGGTAAAGGTTTGGCATGTGTGCTACTTTATTGACATAATTAGTATATGATGTTAGTCGTGAACAGAAGGTCTGGCAGCAGAGAGACAGGAGGATTGAACAGTAAAGAATGGAAACATAATGCAATTTGTATGAAAATGCAAGAACAATGAAGTCTGAGTCATTTTGGGACAATTGGTGGAAATTTTGCAAATTAAGCATTTACTTCATGATTGTTAGATCTTATTAACAAGTCCTGTAGTTAGGTGTTAAATATATTCGATTGTTCACATTGGTGTTATTCTTCACTACAAAGGCAGTTTATTTTCCTGTGTTTGTTTAAAGGCCTATAGATAATGAGACGTCAGACGAGTGAGTTGACTTCATTCTATTATTGCTCAAATTACTTTATTCACGATTGAGTTGGATGTTATAATGACTGTGACTTGTATGTCTTTGTCCAAACTGAATATATACAGGAGCAAAATTATATTATGGTTTTTGTGCATTGGAGTGTGAAATGATTGACAAATGTTCTAATTAAAATCTATTTGACAACTTCGAATTATTCAAAGAAAGCGTACAGTCGAATCGTGACAATACGATAATCAGAAGTATTCGAATCTGGATGCTAACTGAAAATTCCTACAATAGTCCAATTCAAGGTAGATAGAAGTCGATGAGCACAACCAAACGTATTATATTTGGAATTCGTAATGAGCACTCAATCAAATACAAAGGAATAATCATTTAGTAAAAATGCCACAACCACCACAACTTAAATGAATGTTGGGCTTTTGCAATTCCTCGTACGACAGCTTCATTGAATGTATCTCAGATTCTCTTTTGAAGTTATGTTTAATATTGTCTGGATAATGCTCATTAGTGTTAGAATGAATATGCGAAATAGGATTGTTCTCTCCTTTGTCCTCTTCGCTGCTTTCATTTATGTAATGATATGTAGCTTAATGTTTCTATCGGGACTATTTTGATACTGCCTGTCATGTTTTTATGTCACCATCCTCTAGATTTACTAGAAATTTTTCACTTCTTTTGAATATTTTTCGATACTTTTTATAACTTATCATGTTTTTAATGATTGATTAAGCTTTTTTTATGCATATGAATCCTGCAGTCTCGATACATTTCATGCTGTTTTTTCTACCTTTTGTTGTATATGAAATAATTTCTTGTTTTCTGGTTTTCTTGAAGTTGTTATTCTTTCTTCGACATACGTTAACTTCGTGTTGAAATGTGACAGTGTATGGTTTTCTACTCATGAATATATTTTAAAATAATAATTATTATCGTTTCTTTAACTCATAGCTGAAAGTCTTTTAAAGATGCTGGGGAATAAATATTTTCTTTTCTTCTTTTTTTTAGATTTCATTCCATATCAGATATGTAAGTTATTAATGATGCAATCTGCTTTCATACTGCTGAATAATAATTATTTGTAACCAGTAAATAACAAATTAGGAATTGAAAAGTATTGAACACAAAGTACGCAGTCATTTCGGATGTTCATTTTAGAATTTAACCCGTCACTACCAACACCGTTTATTTCACCAACGAATATTTCATGTCATTTAACGGCAGTAACGAGGTAATCCGCATGAAATGTGTATATGCGAATAAGAGATTAATCAATTGCAGTCCTAAACAATAGTGGGAAGATCAAAACAACAACAAAACGAAATCAAATTATTGTTGAGCTAAACGACGCAACCATGTTATTTGTTTATAGATCTTCAACCTTTTATTTGTTGATTTCAACTCGTACGATCAGTTATCCAAACAACATTCAAATTACTTGCAAAGCAATTAGTCCTTTAGATAAATCTGGATAGTGTAACAAAAAAAAACGATTATCAGAAACTTATAATGCATTAAAGATGATATAGAATTTCTAGACATCGATGATGATTATGCTCCTTTTGTAGTTTGTGGCATCATAGATTGTATCGTTTCACATTGAACTGAAATACTTATGTGAGTAATATTTGGTGTAACTAATAGTAGCAAGCTTTTGAACTCAAAAATAATTAAGATCTCCCCCTAGAAGTTAACTGCATAAGAATTCGAACAATTCACTTGATTTGTAAGTTACACTAATAATACTTTCCGGTAAGACAATGATATATTTTCACTAAAAATGCTCACTTGAAAAAAATAGAACTCGGAAAATTTTTGAAAATTTTAAACCATAATGAATAGTAAACTCATTTTGTATTGTTTATTTATATCTTCTTATTGATTTTTAGGACTGCAGTTAATCAGTCCCTTATTGGCATATGTGCATCCTGTTAGGATTACCTCGATATTGTCTTAAATCACAAACAATATAATCAGAGATGGTGGTGGCTAGAAGTAGAATCCAAGTCTCTTGTTTCATCTCAATTTCGACTCTTCAGTTGAATGCACGCGATGACGTTTGAAGCGAATGGTACTGGGTCCAAGTCCCAATATTCAACATGGCTCTTAGAAATTTTAGTTTTTTCGTATAGAAATAATACTTCAATTTACATTATAATTACTTCCATTATCCTTTTGGTGCGATTATTTAATATTTTTGAAATTTGTTCTTAGTACAGTCTGACATGATCGGATTAACTAAAAAATGTTAATGATTAAGTGCATATAATGCTTATGACTTAAGACAATATCGAGGCAATATGTACATATGCCAATAATGGACTGTTTAGTTTCAATCCTAAACATCAATGATAAGATTCAAACAAACAAAAAAAGGAATTTAAATTTATCCCCATTGCACAAACTAGTGACTGTCAAGACTCATTAGCTAAGTAGATGAGGTGATGGTGACTGGATTGGACGTTACTGGGTTCGAATTCCAGAGCAAACAACAACTGAGGTTCAGGTACATCCAGCTAACGAGTCCCAAGTGGGAAGAAACGCGTGTCTTAGATTCCACTGCTAGTCACTATACATAGTTGCTCATAATGTACAATGCTAATTAAGCGCAATTACCGAGTGATTTAGCTTGTAAGCCTAAAGAATATTACATATTAATCAAACGGTTCAATATAAAAGTACTTTATATATCAGTATCATGGTAAGATTATTTCTTTAGCCTTTATATAAGCTTTATAAAATGTTAACATTAAGATGAATTAATTATTGAAAATTGTTCTTCCATTCATTATTTTTTATTACTCCGAATAAAGTTTCTTCTTCAATAAGCCATGGTAAGTTAAACAATATCTGAATACTTTTTTATATTTATCATTATCAGTTTGGTATATTCACTATCAGCTAGATTTCGATATTTGAACTATACGTTATATTTAATATTATTATTATTGCATTGAAGAATGTCAATTAAAGTTCTATTTATCTAACGAAACCCTATAGAGTTTCTTGTAAATACTTCTATGTAATTGTACAATTGACTAATGAATTTAATTTTTGACCAGTTAGTTTGTTATTTTAATAATAAATAAAAAACTGTAACATTTACTTCTGATTCCTATTGGAAACAATTCAACTAATTTCTAATCTGGAAGCACTGGACGGTCGTTTCGTTCTAGTATGGGACTCCTCAGCAGTGCGCATCCATGACTCCGCTCCTCGAGACTGGCTTCAACAGGTATTTCCCGGAGTTCTAGACAGAAGGCGTGACCAGTGGAGTTCAACCGGGTCTACTGTGAGATAGTAACTTACTGATAACAATGGTGGATGGTGGTGCAACTTCGTGGATTGGTAGAAGTTAGACATTAACAGCGTTGGATGCTCGCCGGCTCGGTGGTGTAGAGGTTAAGCGTTCGAGAGCGAGACTGATAGGTCCTGGGTTCGAATGTCGTGGATCGGGATCGTGGATACACATTGTTAAGGAGTCCCACAATAGGAAGAAATGGGCGTCCAGTGCTTCAACGTTTTCCATGGTGGTCCAACTTCAACTGAGTCATGAATTGAATTATAGAATTACTAGAATCTCCACAAAACCCCTTCTGATAATAATTTCTAATCCTTGAATATTTCATTCGGTACATGATAAATAATGTGTATTTCTAATTCCCATGTCATTTAGGGTTCCTTTATGGATTGTAAAGTGAGTCTGTCGGTTTGATTATTTCTTGGAATAATTGATTTATGGAATTATTATGTTACATTGACTTGAAATCTGTAGGTTGCCGGATTAGTTTGAAATATTTCAGTTCTATTTGGATAAACCAAAATTTAGTTGTTTTTTAGGATCTGTTACCTTATTCGTTTATCTATTCATCTGTTATAATAACTTTACTATCTCAAATCTTGTCATGATTTGATTTTTTACTGTATGTAGTTCAATAATTTTTCATCTGAACCTTTATTAGAAAGCGTAAAAAAAGATTGTCGTCAGGACACATCTGATTTAGGTTTCTGATAGTTTTCAGTTTTTAGCAAGGTATATTTTTATTCTTGAGCGAACTGGTGTTTCCTGTGGGATTCAGATCAGTTTCATTCAATTTCATGGTCTGAGATGTTAGCATTTTGTTATCCGTGTCTCAAGTGACCTGTAGGATATCGGGTCATTTAGATTAATGTTGACATTTCAAACTCATCTAAAGAATTCGATCAACAATGAAGGGCTAAGCAAACATAACATTGATCACTACCCAGTGATCTGCAAATGTACGTGTAACACGTTTTTGCTTTTAATACATGTGTACTGATAGTTGTATTATCCACTTATGTCAAAATTCTTGTTGAAACATGGTATTCAGTTATCCCCAATTTTCTTATATCAGTTACATCAAAATATAGAACTTTTGTCGCTCGATTTCTCTTTTGTAACTCAATCTTTTTTTATCATATTATCATATGAAAAAAATAGACACAATACTGATCCGTTTCATCCCACGGATTGTGGAATGTCAGCTTCAATTGTTTAAATTGTATTTTAATAATTGACATATAGTTCGATACAAAATCAAAAGTATAACCTTCATAATTTGAGGGAGACTCTAAGATATAAAGAAGTGCTAACGTCTAATAGACCTATAGCATCAGTGATCCATAACTGTGATAGTTGACCGACCTGATATTTTGATAAAAAGCCATATAGTTACATTGAGGAAGTATTTTATCAACCTATTCATATAATTTCCTTGTATTGTTACACGTTCACATGCACTTGTGAATATAATTCGATAGATTAAATAGATTAAAGACTTCAAAAGATCTTGAAAATTTCCAAAAATCTAAGTAAGAAATGAAGCAAAGTTGATAACAGTCAAATATCTAAATATGAGAAATCTATACGACTCTATTTTTGTCTCACATTGGTATTACAGATAAAAAAGATATCAAATAACCACTAATTTGTATTAGATCACAAACTGCACCATGTACATTCATTTACATGTGCAGCTGATTTAGCTTCAAGTCCAATCCCCATCTGTGGTTACACATTCTTATAATATGAAAATCTGATAGAAGTAGTCCATGATAGCTAAAATATGTGGAAATACGCGTTTTTGTTGTAAATAGTATACACTTCTTGCATTTATTTTGAGTTGTTCTCTAAAATGACTGTTTATTACGATTTGTTTTCATTATTTGTTTTAATCAGTCCTCTATACTACATGACCGAGTAAGTTTACTGTTGTTTTTCTCAGTCCCATAATTATATCTTTAACTAAATGAACCAGATGATCATTTCATTCAATCTTTCAATTTAGTTGTTTTACATAGACGCTTAATTGATTCATAAAGTTGATCATATTCTTCTCATTACTTTTAACTCGTGATCTACAAGGCTAGATTTTTATTATTAATCTCCCCAATAGGAAAATGAGACACTTTTAAAATAAAAATCTAGGTGATCTAGAAGTACTGTCATCTACATAAATTAATTAAGAGGTAGAAATCTCAATTCAAGAATATACAGTGGTCGATTAGAAAAATTTCACTTTACAAATATACGTCGACAAAACTGTAAGTACAATTCATCGATTTTTTTGAGATGATTGAGAAGAGCTTGTAGCTCAGGTGGATGATTTTCATGTAGTTTTGTTCTCTGAGACGGATAGTTTGGTCGTGGAGTTTTTGCCATTATCCTGAATATTATCATCAACACTAACTTCAGTTAGAACTGAAGTGTTCGAATTTCTCCATTCAATACACAACCAATCAGAAAAATTATGAACAAATATATGACCAAAATCAAATAAATGGGAGATACAACCAAAATAAAGTAGTAAACAATGACAGGTTAAATGTTAACAATAACCAATCAAGATCGATGTCTACAGGACAAGCTGTGAGCCATATGTGAAGAAATTCGAACACTTCACTTCTATCCGAAGTTTGTACTGACGATGTCGTTCAGAATAATGATAAAAAGCTGCACAGCCAAACCATCCAGGTCAGAGAACAAAACTCGATCAAAATCATGAATGCTTTATCTCTCCACTTAAAAAATGTCTTAATGAGACTTCAAAATAATAATTGACATTCATATCCTCCAAAAATATTGATGCACATCTAATCATATATAACTAATTCTATTCATCCATCTAGTTAGTTACTTTTGATTATTTGTTAGGGCAGGATAAATATTATCTATCTAGACTACAAACATGAATTGCATTTATCCTCAAAATGTTCTTGTGAACATTGGGATTAATAAATAGCAACTACCACAAGAAAAAGTATATATATATATATATATATATATATATATATATATATATATATATATCAACACTAAAATCCCATACATAGGTTTAGATTTCAAACCATCTACGTTCTGATCATTCGTTTTTATATAAAATGAAATTTCTTAATTCATTTAGTACACCATAAATAATAATTCAAGAATACATGATATCTATTTATAACTTGCATTTCGACTATAGGAAGTTCATGCAAATTATGGCATGTGAGTTTTGACTTGAATGTTTGGTTACATTATACTCTGTAATATTTATAAAATCAATACTTTGATAATTGTCTTTAAACTATCCATTTATCGACGTTAATTTAGATAAAACAAAAGACTTATATAACATTCAGACTATTAGGGTATCTTTCTTAAAATTAATGAGGGGGCAGATTGATTTCTGAATCTATTCTTCGCCGTAGTAATAAAGATACCTAGATAAATGCTATACATATTTAAATAGTTGATCCATTAATCGTTCATCATGTATTAAGTTCACTGAAAAATAAAATAACAACAGAATAAATTGGGATTTTTTTATTCTACTGATTCAAAATCATAATCTATCAAAAGAATTATTAAGTAGGATCTGAATCTTATTTTTCATACCGTCAAGGTGTCATTAAAACTGCACAATCATATGTAGTAATATTTTTACTGATACATTTATTTCTAGTCATTTCTATAGTTTGATCTGTCTTATATCAAATTATAATATGGAGCATTATTAACCTCACAAAATTTATGTTAATGACAATTCATGTATCGAGGTCACATTGATCAATATAGCATCCAGATAGTCTAGATTTGTTTATTTACTTCTACGTCTATTCAATGAAATGAAGAATCTAGAAAACTAAAATATCAATAGGGGCTTTGTGGAGATTTTAGTAATCCCATAATTGAATTAATGAGCCAATTTTAGCTAGACCACCATGGAGAATCTGGAAGCACTGGACGGCCATTTCATTCTCTTATGGAACTCCTCAACATTGTGCATCCACGATCCCGCCCCGCGGGATTCGAACCCAGGACCTATGAGTCTCTCACGTGAGTGCTTAACGTCTACACCACTAGGCCGGCGGGCATCCAACGCTGTTAATGTCTAGCTTCAATTGACTCTTGAATTCAACTATTGAAATTACTAAAATCTCCACAAAATCCCTTCTGATAATAATCAACTGCTCACTAGTGATTGACTTCAAGGGGAAGCCGTGACCACTGGAGTTCAGCCAGGTCTGTTGTGAGATATCGGCTCACTGAAGACAATGGTGGACGGTGGCATAACTTCGTGGATTGGTTGAAGTTAAATATCAACACTGTTGGATGCCGGTTCAGTGGTCTAGGAATTAAGCGTTCGTGTGCGAGATTCATAGGTCCTGAGTTCGAATCTCGTGGGGGCGGGATCGTGGTTATGCTTTGCTGAGGAATCCCATACTAAGACGAAACAGCCGTTCAGTGCTTTCAGGTTTTTTATGGTGGTCTAGCTTCAATTAAATCATGATTTCAACTACTAAAATATCAAATTTAAAATTATACTAATTAATGTTGAATTAAATTTGTTTCAATAAACAGTCATATGGTATTGTATAGTATTTTGAACTTTTTGGTTACCAGATATATCAAACACCATATAGACATTTGTAAAAATGAGAAACGAAAATTACTCCACTGACTACCTAAATAAATCGGTGTCAGCGAAACTATCAAAATTTAAATCATAAGTACTTTATGAATGTTTTATCTGACCCTAGGGTCTTAAACATTACCCGGAGATAGTGCTGAATTCCAACTTATTTCATTAGTGATAAAATTCATGTATGAAGGATCGCTTTTCATCACAGTTTGATTTATACAAACAATGTTATAATTACTTAGGTTGTGAACGAATTAAATTCATGTTTGAATATCATAAGTGAAAATAGCAACTATAAGTTACGTGTAGACTGTTGTAGCCAATATGTAAACACAATACCTAAAACTGGACGATTACTTAAAAGAGGACATAAATCTCAACTAATTGATCATCTTAGAGATCAAAATCTAGAACTGTGTCTCCCAGACAAGGGTGATAGAATTGTCCTTATAGATTGTCATGACTATGTTATCAAATTATCCACAAAATTATCAGATTATGTCAAATTCTCTAAAAAAAACCATGCATAAATGTGCAACTGAGAAGACGGAACAAATTTTAACTAAGGAAGATGAAGGATGAATCTGTTACCAGTTATGACCTTTGTGAACATCCCAGACCATTGAGTTTCACTATATCGAAACTATACAGACTCCCAATAGTTCATCAGAAGAACGTTCCCCTACGTCCTATACTTGATATGAATAGCTCTCCGTATCATTTGATTGGAAAATGGCTAGTTGAAATTTTTAAACCAGTTAAAAGTCACATTAATAGATGCAACTTTTTTGATTCATTTGACTTTGTCGACTCAATTAGAAATATTAATGTAAATGGTTAAAAAATGATCTCATTGGATGTCAATACTCTCTTTACAAATGTTCGACACACAAAAACTATATGTTTTTTATGTAACTATATCGAACATAACAAATTTGATATTTATATCCCGAAGCAATATCTAAAAGAGCTATTTCTACTATGTACTCCGAATGTTTAACTCAGATTTAATAGTGATTCCTATTGACAAACTGACTGAGTTGAAATGGGTTCACTACTGCCTCCTTGGTCGATTGTTTCATGGCCAATCTAGAAAATAAGGTGCTTTGACAAATAATTAAAAGATTTCATTTATGTAAGAGATATGTGGATGTTACTTTCACTATTTGTGAAGAAGGTAAGAACCTCACCAGTGCATATCCACGATTCCTCCTCGCGAGATTCTAACCCAGGACCTATGAGTCTCGCACACCAATGCTTAACTTCCAGACCACTGAGACCAATCCACGAAGTTTCACCACCATCCACCATTGTCATCAGTGAGTTACTATCTTACAACAGACCTGGTTGAACTTCACTGGTCACTGCTTCTTACTAGATATCCTGAAATCGTGGATTCACACTACTGAGGAGTCCCATACTTAAGAGGAAACGGCCTTTCAGTGCTTTCAAGTTTTCGATGATAGTCCGGCTTCAATTGACTCATGAATTCAACTATTAAATTACTATGATATCCACAAAATCCCTTCTCTGATAATAATAATTAAGAATTTAATTAATCTTTTATTTGTAAAAAAACATTTTCCTTAGAAGCAATCAAAACATATTTAACTTAATTATTATTTTTTGTTTTATATTTTATCAGTTTTACTAGAAGACGATAATATTAGAGAAGTCCAAATGCCAACATACTATTACGATACATCAATATGAGAATGTGTTTCTTGCAGTATAGTTAATTCAACACGTAACTAATAACTTATATAATTGCCATAACATAATTTTAGTTTTAACATTTGCATAAAATTATGAATAAAAAAACAACTTAACATACAAAATATTGTATTCTGTATTTTCGACAATAATAAATTATCAAAAGGGGTTTTATGGAGACTTTAAAAATTTCACAGGTTGAAATCATGAGTCAATTGAAGTTAGACCACTATGAAATTCCTGGAAGCACTGAACAGCCGTTTAGTCTTATTGTGGAACTTTTCAGGAGTGCGCATCCACAATCCCGTTGGATGCCGACTCAGTGGTCTAATGGTTAAGCGCTCGCGCGTGAGACTGATAGGTCCTGGGCAGGATCATGGATACGCACTCCTCAGGAGTACCACAATAGAACGAAATGGCCGTTCAGTGCTTCTAGATTTAACAAGTGACTCATGATCTCAACTACTGAAATTACTATAATATTCACAAAACCCCTTCTGGATACTATTCTATTTTAGTTTGATTATGAGTATCTTTCTGAATAAAATGAGAGTTCTATTAACTATCAACGTGTGTATATCATACATTTCTAGATGATTAATTGCAAATTAAATGAATGCATTTTTCAGCTTGAGGTTTTCTAATGTTACTATTTCATTAGGATGATGTGTAGAACGCTGATAGATTATAAACATCATTTAGACTAAAATTCCTTAAGATACATTTCAGTCTTATCTAGAATCTTTATTATCATGTTCTGGTAATCTCACGATATTGATGATGAAATCAAGAGACTAGATACCGCTCACTAAAGATCGCAACTGTTCCAGTACTAAAAGATCTTAAAGTAAAATAGGATTGACATGGAGGGCAAATCAGAAGTAACCTAATGAAAAGGTCAGTCAATGGCAGTCAGAAGTGACCCAAACGTCAAGTATATTTTATTGTGGTCAGTAAGTTAATTTCCTAAGGATAGAGTGTTATATATATATGAATAAGTATTTGTACATTTCATTTAATAGCCAAGTACACTTTATCTCTCACTCTTGTGTTCTCGCTCAAGTAGTTAGTTGGTTGGTTAGGGGGTTAGCGCACAGAATACTGTGTATAATATCACATTTTCAAACAACGCATATCATAACATGAATCAATCCGCAAAGATGTAATAATCAATAAATTAATAATAATACAATTGATTCCCTTTACAAACATAAACAAAGGAATAACAACAATATTTACTGGATACGATTTATTCTTACTTTATTTAAATGAATAAGAGCATTCTATATTATAAACAATTCTAATTATATGTACCATCATTACAAATGAGATGTTTTCTGTAGACTTGAACACTACTTTTTAAATCACTAACTCAGGTATATAACTACAAACATTAATGAGGATTTATTGATAAAACATACACTTTGTTCATATGTCTGTTGTTCTGGTGTGATGCCAAAACTACATTAAAGTTGAATATTATTTCGAAACGTTCCACAAAGTTTTCGTTGTTGTGGAAGTCATCAAAATAAATTAGAGTAAAAGTATATTGTACGAAAGAGCTGATTAAAATCAATAAAATGACTGTTAGGTTTTTTGAACTAAGTTCGAAAATAAATGATTCTTATCTCGTTTCACGTAGGACGAGGAGTACAAATTTCCTTGTAAAATGTTAAAAATCAAAACGAAAAACTACGTTTTCGGATATCATGTGAACGTGTCAAATGCTCAGTTCTTAACGTGTAGCATGCATATAACTTGCAGATAAACCCTGCTCCTAAAGCCATAAACCCTTAAACGTGACCTAAACATTAAGTCTCTAAACCTGATTGGCCAAAACGTCGATGCGTTTATTTCACTTTGTCTATATACTATACTTCTATATCAATTAGTTTGAATTAAAATTCTGCATCAATAATTGTACATACTTCACAAATAAATATTAAACACATTATCACAATCCATAGAATGTTATGTAAACAAATCTAATCTAAACGTCTCATATGTACAACCATAATAACATGATTACATTCAATTGAAATAAGAAGTCACTTAGTCGAACAAATATAGTATATCAATCCATTGAAAATCTTAACTACACCACTGATGGACTGTAAAAGAATACTGAAATTATCGTAATAAATCTATTATTTAAAAGAATAAAACAGTTCAAACTAATATTATTCTCAATTGTGGGGTGTAATTCCGTTCAATTAAATGAGGTACACTTGTATGTTATGCAACCCACAAAGTGTAACCATACAAACATTTGTCAAGGGATTGTATATACTTTAGAGTGAATCATGAATGACTAATATTTTATGAAATATCGCGCGGTCATAATAAGGAAATAAAATTTCGATTGTATTTCAGTCCCAAAATAACTTCGAAACTGTGATTGCAGAAAAGTTAGGTTGTACTGAATTTAGCGTACACAAATGAATAGAAGTACTTAAAACAGATACAAACAATGGACACAAGAATTATTTACTATGGAGTATACTAGCAAGATGAAGTATAGTGTTATAAAATATTATCAATTTCTTCATTTATACCTTATTCATTCATGTTTATGGGTTAAATAATGTGAACGTTTATAGTCTGAATATAAGAATATTCAAGAATAAAATCTAAGAACATAGAAACAAATTTATTTAGTGTTATAATCTGTACCCCACTAATATATGATTTAATGATACCGCTAATAAGAGAACAGTGGCTTATCGACCATACCGATGATGCATAAAACCCGTACCAGCAGTCTGCAGTCCTTATCGGTCCTTCTTCCAGTTTAGCCTTGCCTGTTGAGTCCAGAATACTGATCTCATGTATTTCAAACATACTGGATTTATATACAAACAAAACAGATCACATCGCACCATAAAATAGAAAATAACATTTGTACAATATCTAGCCATAAGTGACTGTGAATGTAGGAGACTGTAATTAATAGACTGAGTAGAACTCAAGAACGGTAAATGGTATAATAATAGTTTATGGATAAAGCCTATAATTATAGGAATATGAATATGCATAGTTTAAGTACGCCACAATTATACAACAAAAATATGTGTGTATCGTATTGGTCCATAAATATTTCTCAAAAGTTACCATTCATAATTCTCGTCGGAATATAACATTTAGAAATGAAATAATAATGTTCTAGTTACATAATCCTCAGAAACAAAATTAACTAAGTACAAATCAGATAAGAGGTAAAGATTAATAAATAGTGTCATGTAAAGAATTATGTAACGAACATTTATGAATATGATGTCACTACGGCAAAGCAAAACTGACAACTGAATTCTTTTGGATACATAAATTTAGTTGATAACTGATGAGGAACCACGATATATAATAAATTCGTGTTATTCGATTATGTTCATTGTTCTTGCATTAATTCTAGTAAAACAGACAAGAAACCTACGTCTGATTGAAAATGATACCATTATTATTATTGTTATTATTATTATAGATTCAGTTTAGTAACAAACTTGAAATTTATTAAATTCTATCTAAAAAACAAATAGATCATAATAACAAAAATTTGCCAAAATTTTATTTAAATTTACATATATGCAAAGTATGATAAGTAAATAGGTTACTTTGATAATTGAGTGATATTTTTAATTCATTGATTCATATCATAAATTCTTGTGAGGCCCTTTATTTTATCGTCCTTTAGATCGGACGATATAGTTGACGGGCCCACCACTTCAGTGGCTCAGGATTCGATTCCAGTTAGATCGTATGAATGTTCGTTATTGAATGATTGCTGTCAAAATATATATGTCGCCTATCCTCGTATATTTCATCGACTTAAATCGAGTTTGTCAATAACCGAATTAAATAAGTCAAATACGAGAATGCATTTCGAATATGTATATTTCATACAATCGTTGATCCAGACGAAATATAGCGGAAGCAAAGAGAAGAGAGTTAAGCGAAATAAGGTGTGTGAGTGTGGTGTTTGAATGAACTAATGATTCTTTTGTACTTGTTGAATGCTTGATTTCAAATTCTAAATACAGTACATTCGTTTGTCCTTATCTAATACTTGTTTATCCGATCACGTTATTTCTGGGATTCTTAGTTCATACTATAATTCAAATAATTCGAAACGTTATATTGGCATCGCGATGGAGCCTGCTATGGAAAAGTTAGATATTCATTCAACTTCTGAAGCTTTTGAGGATTACTTAGAAGGGTTCGAACTCTGGGTTATGGCCAAGGAAGATGATGAGGATGTTAATATTATAGCACTTTTCTTCACATCCATCGGAAAATAAGCATATAGCTTATTAAAAACTCTGGTTTTACCGGAAAGGCCCATTTCGATTTCTCATACAACTCTCAAGGATCTACCGCTAGACTGTGTTAAGTATACATATTTCAAATGTGGTAAAAGAAGAAGATTTCGTTAAATTGATTCATGAGGATATAAAAAAAGTCCACTGCATTACGTCATCTCAACCCAGTGCGTTCTCAAGGTTATGCAGATAATTCATTGAGGAGTTGCGATGCAGTTCACGAAGATGGGCACAAGTTTTGTTAATGTTTGTCCTGTGGCAGGTTCCACTCTTTTAATTCATGTAAATTTCGTAATTCTAAGTACTTTAAATGTGGTGATATTGGACATATTCAGTCAGTTTGTAATACTACTGTTCATCTTGCTTCAACTAATATTAAGTCTTGAAATTCTGATTCTATTAAGTTGAGTATTTATAATGATTATTTATCTTTATCAACGATTTCAAAAGACAGTGTAGAGTCATATAGCAGTTCAAAGTTTAATGAAACTCAGAATTCTAGCGAGACAACAGTTTCTAATCAATCGACTTATCACATTTCTCATGTTATTGTACCAGTTATGGCTTTTCCTAATGGTTCACTTATTTCTGACAAAATTCATTGCAAATCTGAGAAAAATATGTTGAGTGAACCTAGTTATGATCGAAAACCTGACGTAGTTTTGATAGATGCTGATTTTTCTAATGATCCTTTACTCTGCAATGACATTCTTCATAAATTCGAGGAAACTATTTCAGAAGAGTTAAAGCTTGATATCATACCAAATATTATTTGTTCTCATAATGTATTTGTTTCTTATGGGAAACT